ACTGGCGAGGTTGTGGCGGAGATGCGGCGCGGGAGGAACAGAGGCCGCCTCCCTAAGGCGGGGGGGGAGGGGACGGGACGGGTCGGGGACACGACGACTTCAAACCACCCTGCGCGCTAATCCGGGGCTGCTGCTGCTGCTGCTGCTGGTGGTGGTGGAGGAGTCCTCGAGTGCCACTTAAAGCGCCTGGTCGTCGTGGGTAGGGGGCGTTGGGAGCAGGATTGGGGAGATCCAGGCTCAGATTCACGCCCCGTCACGGCAGCTTGCTGGGCGACCTCGGGATACTCATACAGGCTCGGTCTAACCGACCTCACCGGGTTGCTGCTAAAGTGGAGACGAGAAGGATATACGCCTCTTTGTGTCCGCATTGGGGAGGAAAGCGGGGTATAAAGTATATAAAACACGTACCTGAGTAAAGAAAATGAGAATTAATGTGCTCTTTTTCTGCTGTAGGGCAAACCCACCAAGAGTCCCCCCAGGATTAGGATAGAGGGGGATCTAGAGACAGCTGAAAGGCTGGCAGTTTTTTATCCCAGCGTTAGCCCTAAATCTTCAAACGCAACGAATAGCTCCTCCATCGGCAGGCCTCTGTCTCTTTCCTTCCCCGTTTATTCCCGGGTGGTTCCCACTGCAGAATTTCCGGCAGGTTGTACCTCCGAGAATTCCGGAAAGGACATAGTTCAGATCCCCCCCCCCCCCATATATATAAATTGAGGAAAATAAGATTTCCCAAACATTCCGCCGTGCGGGAAATGCAAAGAGCCAGGAGCGCGGAATGTCCCAGACTGGAGAGGCCGGGACTGGCGCGTGCGAGGAGAGCCCAGCTTCGGGCCCTGGCGGGGAAAGGCTTTGGGCAGCACCTCAGCCCGGAGCCCTGAGAGCTTGTCGTGGGAGGAGAGGCTCGGGGCCACCAACAAGAAAATAAAAATATTTCCCGGCCCTCGCGAAGGCGGATGGAGTGCCTCCTGTCCCTTCGTGGGACTGGCGCGCCCCAGAAGGCCCCGGCTGTGTGACGGCGCGGTGACAGATGGGTGTGAAGAAGAAGTCAGGATTCTGGGAGATGTGTTCCAAAGAGGTTTTGGGGTTCCCGTCCCCCCGGCCGAGGATTCCGAGGACTTTCCCCCAGGCGGGGTGACCAAGAAAGCGTCCCTGGGTCGCTTCCTCGGACTGCTGTCCCTGTCGGACGGAGCGGGGAAGACAGCCAGCCGGGGACCCGAGGGAGCGCTTTCATCCCCCCACCCCCACCCCCGCCCCCGGTCTGTTGCGAGGAGCAGGTAGGCGGCGAGGGGGGTAGGGGCAGCCGCGCCCCCCGGAGGCGAAGGCGGCGGCCCTTCAGCCAATAGCTACTGCC